GGTGAAGGGTTACAGCCAGGGCATTTATCACCTCAAATCCTGGACTGAGTGATACTGATTTGTCCCAGACTTGGAAACCAGCAAAAAAGAGTGTTTTAAAGAGACTGACTTTTTTTTGGAGGGCTAGGACCATATTGATTACTCCTTTAGCCCATCTATTTTTTTAATTTTTGGTTTCTAAACCTCAGTTGCTGAATGTCCAGAAGAGCCTTGAAATATAAAGTATAGCCAGAGAACTGATATTTTTTTACCTAGCATGAATGTTCTAGTATGTGAATCTAGTAGGTAGAATGTTCACAGACAGCAATTATATAGATTTATAGAGAAAATTTAAACATACTATTATGACGTAACAGTCACGATGACATTTTTTGTAACATATTTAAATCTCCATCTTGGAATAGAATAGCCTTTTAGTCAATAATCAGGAAAGGTCAGTTTACCTAATACATCATTTCTACAGATAAACGTAGAAGGTCCAGAGAAAGTAAGTAAAATTATTTGTGTCATACCAAATATCATGTTTTTATGTGTAATTTAACTAAAGATAAACAGGAAGATATTAGGCCAATGGCTAACAAAATAGACAAGTTAATTCTGGTAATAAATGAAGTGACACAATGTCAAACGTGTATAATACTCATAACCAAACAGGATCTATGTAGCTTGAGTTTTTACAGAATTCTACCATTGTAAGAAGCTTATTTAAATATAGCCATAACCATTATAATAATAATAGTTTTTTTAATATACTGACAAATAAATAGGACCTCATTTTGACTTGACATGAACCTTTTACCACAAATATCTGGAGCACAAGAGATAGGCAGATGTCCGAATCTGAAAGAAAATGTTTGTCCTATAGACAATCATCATTTTATATTTTAGAATACTGTACATCTGAAAGGCATGAATGCACTTAATATACCATGAGCTTACTAATAATGAATTGTCATTATTTTGTTTCTCAATTTAGTTTTGTACCAATAGCAATTTTTCATCAAAAAAACCTTATTGCCTCTTTTTTGAAAACTTAACCTTTTGACAATGGCCAACATAAACATAACACAGTAATATACTTTGAATGACATCTATTGGGGTGTCTCCCATAAGGCAATGGAGATTATTGGGTCTTCTTATTAATGAACAAAAATCAGTTAATGTTGCTCCAGGCAGCTGCTTTTCATTTATCAATTGAAGTCCTGCCTAATAATCTCTCCCTACCCTGAGATTTTTATTTAATTATCTTAACAAAGTTTTGATAATCCATGAAAACACGATCTCAATATTGAACAATGAGAGACTCTCAAATCTAATACACAAATAATAATAAGCATTACATTTACAAAACCAATTTTAACATCATTTTGACCAACTGACAACTTTTGGTGAAAGCATACCTTTAATTTAGATGATGTTTATCTATAAGCCTAATTAAATTTTAAACAATTGTTTTTAAATTACAAAAAATACAAAAAGAAGAAAAATTTGTTGAGCTCAAATAAAACAGCTGTTTACAGACTGAACAGAGAGATAAACAAAAACACACAAGACAATTTGCTTACAAAATCAGAGTGCACTCAGATATATTTTGGCCAAATTGAATCATGACTTTTTTTAGATCTAGGAGTGGGGCTACTGGCTGAAATGCCAGTGTCTGTTAAAAATCCAACAGATTTTCCGCCTACATTTATGATTAACACGGGTTCCCCAGGGCCAAGGCACAGGGACCCATGACCCTGTCTATCTGAAACTTTCCCTGACTGCACCACAAACATTGTTTTTTCCTCTTTTCTCGCGGTTTAGCAGCTTTGGACACTCTCATTGAAATGTCCCTTCTTTCTACAGCAGGCACATTGGTTTAGACCCAGGGAATGTAAAGGCCTTTTTCTTGTTTACCCTTTTCTCTGTCTCAGTTTCCAACCGCGCCTCCTTTCTGTCAGCTGCTAACATTTCTTTTTTCCGCTCCTGCTCAGACTTTTACTTTGTGTTCTGTCATGAAACAAATTTTGGGCAACTTCTATCGGCTGGGACAAGCTTATCTCTGTAGTACCTTTTAATTTTTGCAGCTTGTGACACTGTTGTCACTTACGTAGGTCAGCGGGGTGCTGAGCCGCAGAAAAAAGCCCTTTCCTCCAAGCCTGATGACTTTTCCGAATCTAATCTCATTTGTTTCTCAGCCACTCTTAAAATCCTTCCTCTCTCCTCTGAAGAAAACAAAGGTAACATCTGTTGACAGTCACCCCAGGTGAGGCGGTCAGTTTGGTGAATCCCAAACACCACTTCCACCAAAGTAATCAAAGCCCAAGTTTGTTTTGAAAAGGGGGATTTTAAGTTCATTCATGCCTTTTCGGTTTTCTTGTGAGTGCCTTTCTCGATGGACTTGCTTGCTGTTTCAAGGGGACACCATCTCTTGCACAGCGTCACGGGGAGGGCGTGGCGAGGCTCCCCACTCCCTCCCGAGGCCCCAGCTCCCCGTGCAGTCACCGTGGACGCGGTCACCGTGCACCCCCGCCCCGGTCGCTCAGCCTGCACTGCCGGCCGCGCCCTCAGAGCAGCTCCTCCGCGCCTCCCACCCCTAGTGTGGCCTCTCTGTTTGTTTTTCCCGCTCCCCCTTGCTATTTCCCACGCGGGCTGCATTAACTTGCACTTCTCCACCATGTACAGGGTCTTTCCCGCTCTCTCCCTCACACCCTGTGTCTTTTCATAGCAGCCTTCAGGGGCGAAGTGCTGTCTCGGGGTGCACTGTTCGCTTGTGGTGCTGGGAATGGAACTCAGGGCTGGGCGTGCTGGAGGAGCCCTCTGCCACCGGGCCGCACCAGCCCCGCTGCGACCTCAGGGCTGGTGCGCGTTAGTAGTGCATACCAGGGGACGCATGTGGTGCGCAGCACAGCCCGCACGGTGTTTGGATTATTTTATCCCGGTTACGCCGCCTCCCATCCCTCCACTCTCCTCCTGATGTAACACGCCAGGAACGGAAGCCTGCCTCCTACGTTCCTGTCCTCTCTTCTTTGTTATTGTTGTCATGTCTTTTTCTTTTCTGAAAAACATTATTTTTATTAGTACTTGTGTTCGGTACATCACGATTCTTTCATCTCTCAGACTGGGATTTTTGTACAAAACACATGTTAATTCCTATGTCCTCTTCCCCTGCATTCCCTCCTTTCCTCTCCACTTCGTGGCCTCCTTTGAATTTGCAAAAGATTGATCTCTGTATTTCCTAGTATCCATCTTTTATTTGCTTTTTCACTTATTTACACTTTGGGAAGAGATATTATGCATATATGGGCTGGTGTGTCTGATTTAATTCATTTAATATGAAGGTTTCAGTGTACATCCATTTTTCTACAAATGAATCAAGAGAGAATATGAAAAATTTTCCAAAATTTGCTGGAGAATGTTAACAGTCCTATCCACTGGCTGAGTTCCCATGAGCTTTCCCCCTGTCCAGTTTTTCTAAGTTAGCTTTTTAGGAATCTATTTCATCACTAGGAAACTAAAACATCACTTCCTGCATTCTCATAGTATAACTCCCATCTGCAAACCTTACTATATATATATATATATATATATGTGTGTGTGTGTGTGTGTGTGTGTGTGTGTGTACTAGGAGCTGATCATGCTGCTCATCTCCTAAAATAAGGGTAAAGTCAAAGGCTTAAATAAAAGAGAAAAGTAATGTGGGGTTTGGAGATCCAGAGACAGCAGAACTCTTTTGTAGCTAAGACAAAGAGTTCTCTGGACTGCCAGTATTTATTGGATTTTAAAAAATTTCAGGGCTCAAGCGGGAAATGTAGGAAATAGCTAAGGTAGAAGGTGCAAAACTGAGCAAGGCCTTGAGAAGTTAGAACAAAGATATTCTAGGCAGTAAATCTTGATAATTAAGAGAATTGTCTTATCTCTAGGGTTGGCAGTTACTGCCCTGGAATTGGAGTGAGAGTCAAATGTCCTCAGCTGTGGCCTTATCTTGCCCTCAGAAGTGTCACAGTGCCAAAGACCAGAACAGGTCTCTACTGTGACTGCTGGCATGGAGAGTTGTATATTTCTTGCCAGTTCTATTGGCAAGTCATCTACATCTGTCACAGAGTGTGTGTTCTTTGGTTATTTGTCATGAAGAGATAAAGTAGTTTCATTTAGGTAAAAGGAAATCTGCGCATAGAACACTGTGTGAAACTTGTCTCAGAAAAACAGAAAGTACTCATGGAAAGCCAGTGTTTTCCTCTGAGACAATGGCACCCCCTGCTACAGCATCATTTTTCATGACAATGACACAGGTGCTACATTTTCCTCTGGTGCTGTGAACAGTGGGCTTTGGGTACAGAGATGCCAGTTATGGTGTCCTTCCCAAATTCCCATCACTTTCCATGTGCCTCCAGCATCATTTTTGCAAGTGATCCTTGTCCTTCTCATTTTTCTACAGTCTTCTGCTTGCCGGAAAGCAAGACAGAGAGGTCTACTGTTGTGGGAAAAATTGCATCAACTGTAGCCAGGGGCTCAGAAGAAGAAAGGAAATTTCATTGATGCTAGCAGACTCTAGAGGAGTTATCTCCAAAGTCTGAGGTGAGGTTTACAGAGTTTGTCTTTTTATAGGTTGGTGAACAGAAGTTACAAGAAGGAAATAAGCTTCTACCTGAAGGCCATGGTACAATGGGTATCTTGTGGTGAGCACAGCTGTGATTAGTAAAATTGTTTTAGACCTTCACAGAAGTTTCTATTTGATGGCAAATTGTATAATGTACCTGAGTTCAGTGGCAGAGAAAAGAATGCCTACAGCTTTATTGA